TACTACTACTACTACTACTACTACTACTACTACTACTACTACTACTACAGGATTTCATATGCAACATTCACTACTACTGCTACTGCATAGGACTTTTATATACTCACAAAAATCCTGTGAGAGCGAGAGGCAGGGCAGAGTAGAGCTTATTTTCATTTTGCAAGTGAAGAAACTGAAGCCCAAGGAGTTGAAGTGATCTGCCCAAGGCCACTCAGCTAAGATTATGTCAAGTCCATGGTTTCATTTTGACTAATCCTGTTGTCAAGTCCTCCCATCATGTTCTCGTATATCCCTGTTGGCTGGTGATCAATAGCAAAACATATTGAAGTCTGTTCTCTGTCATTATTTTTAATATCATGATTATTGTTAATGAGAAACATATATAAGTACTTTTGAAGGCAGCTAGGTTCTAGTACCTGGCTAGGTCACACATTGGCTGTGTGACCTTGGGCACGTAATATCTCAGGGCTCTAGGCAGCTCTCTAAAACTACATGGGGGAGAAAGTCCAGCATTTGTTTTTGTTTTTGTTTTTAATTAATTAAGTTTTAGTTTTCAACACTCTCTTTTATAAGATTTTTAGTTTTAAAATTTCCCCCCTCCTTCCTTTCCCCTCTTCCCAAGATAGCATGTAATCTGATATAGGCTATACATGTGTGATCATATTAAACATGTTTCCACATTAGTCATGTTGTGAAAGAAGAATCAGAGCAAAAGGGAAAACCCATGAGAAAGAAAAAACAAAACAAAAAAAAAGAAAAGAAAGAGATCTGCATTGCTTTGATCTGCATTCAGACTCCATAGTTCTTTTTCTGGATGTGAGTAGCATTTTCCATCATGAGTCTTTTGGAATTATGTTGCTCAGAAGAGCTAAGTCTAACAAAATCAGTCATCGCACAGTGTTGCTGTTTACTGTATACAGTGTTCTGGTTCTGCTCACTTCACTCAGCATCAGTTCATGAAAGTCTTTCCAGGTTTTTCTGAAGTCTGCTGGTCCATCATTTCTTATAGCACAAGAGTATTCCATTACATTCATATACCACAACTTGTTCAGTCATTCCCCAATTGATGGGCATCCCTTCAATTTTTAGTTCTTTGCCATCATGAAAAGAGCTATTATAAATATTTTTGTACTTGTGGATCTTTTTCCCTTTTTTACAATCTCTTTGGGATACAGCCCTAGAAGTGCTTTTGTTGGATCAAAGGGCATGCACAGTTTTATGGCCCTTTGGGCATAGTGAGGAACACTTTAGTTCAGGACATTTCTTTTTAGTCAGTTCTTTATAGCTGGGAAGAAAAAGACTCAGTCCTACTTAGGGCCCACCCTGAGTCTACTCTGGTCCTGGGAGGCCATGGATTTACTCCAGATCACATAGCAGTTAGCAGCATTTTTCTACAAAATTCAGGCCTTCTGATTCTTAGGACAAGACTCTACCACATGATGCCACCTTCTAATAAAAGCTTACATTTCTACACCATGTTACGATTTACAGATGCTTTCTTTCACTTCTTACTTGAGCCTTACAACAGCCTGATGGTGTAGACAAAGCAGGAAGGCCTAAAGAAGGTCTCAGTTTGCTGACATGATCAATTTATTATCTCCATTTTACAGATGTGAAAACAGGCTCAGAGAAGTTAAGTCACTTGTGTCTGGTCATGTAGTTGTTAAGTAGCAAATGTGAAACTAAAACCCAGTTGTCTTAGAGGTAGCTATGTAGTACAATGGATAGAGTATTAAACCTGGAGTCAGGAAGACCTGAGTTCAAAAGTGGCCCCAAATTGAATTGTTTACTTATTAGCTAGCTCTGAGACCCTAGACAGTTCACTTGACTCCTGTCTCTCTCAGTTTTCTCATCTGTAAAATGGGGATCATAATAGCACTTAACCTCCCAGGGTTATTGTGAGGATCAAATGAGATAATATTTGTACAGTTCCTGGCACATAGTAGGTGCTCAATAAATGCTTGTTTTCTTCCTAATTCTCAGTTCATTGCTCTTTTCCACAATGTGTGATTTATTCCCTTTAATTCTACAGCACATGGCCTCCTATTCCAATCAGGCTGTAATGTAAATTGCCTTATAAACCATAAGTACTTGATCTCCCTACTGTTGTGAGAATTTGGGAAATCACTTCAGTTCTTTGAGCCTCAGTTTCCCCATCTGCAAAATGAAGACAATTGACTCAGTGATCTCTAAGGTCTCCTCCACTGTTAGCATCGTTAGTAAAGGAAATAATCATGGAATCCTAGATTTGAAACTGGAAAGGATCTTAAAAGTCATTTAGTTCAGCCCTCTAATTTTTATAGATAAGACAAATGAGGTCCAGGAGGTAAACTGATTTCCTCAAGGTTACTTCTTAGCAAGTGGCTGAGCTAGAATTTGAATTAGGGTCCTCTGAGTAACTCCAGATTCAGCCCCCTTTCCATTGCACTCTGATGATCTACCCTCTTGGTTTGCCTCTGTTTACATGCTCATACTTACTTTCTAATTATGACTCTTCATGAATTCTACCTAAAAATCCATAACGCATTCTAGCTTCTGGAACTCTGACTTATAATTGAAATCTGTCACATGTACCTGTATCATCTCCCAGGGAGACAGGCTCTGCCATGTCAACAGAAAGGTGGAAAGTAGAAGAACCAAGATATTTACATGCCTGTTTCTTGTCACCTGATGAGCTCAGAACTAAGGCGCTGAGTGTTGGAGTTGAGAATTTCCAGATTGAGCCATTGGCATTTGATTGCCAGAGAGTTAGAGTTCTTGAATGCCCAACTGTGGGGGTTTGCTGCTCATTGCAGAGCCATAATTGCTCAGGCTAAAGTGCCAGAGAAACTGTGTGGGTCTCCAAGCAAATTAGTACAATGTTCTTGCGTAAGGCTTATTTTTACAAACCTTTTTAGCCAGATTTGTAAGTGTTCTGGGCATGCATTGAATAAAAGTGCCTGATGGGACACATGCATGCAATACAAGATGTGGAGGCATTTAGAAATGGCTTCTGAAAAGCATATGAAATGCTTAAGATAATGTTCCCCATACCTCCCTCTGCCTCTCATCTCCCTAGTTGCTGGCAGTCTCCTCCCTACCCCATATTTCCTTATACTCACTTTCTGTATGTTTTACATTGCTTATCTGTGTACATGGTTGTTCCTTCCCTCCTCCCCCAATCAAAGGTAAGCTTCTTGAAGTCAGGGACTGTTTTCTGCCTTTCTATCCCCAGCACCTGGCACAGTGCCTGACACTTACTGAGCACTTAATCTTTGTTGAATTGAGTGGAAGCTGTAGTTTCTACACTGGGCATAAGAAAGTTTTCATGGACGGTAGTTAATGCAGGTTCGTGATTTTCTTTCAAAGCTTTAGGTAATAAAACCATGTATTGGAGATGGTGGGAGATGAATGAAAAAGAGCCTTGGCCTGGCACTTGAGATATGGGTTCAAGTTCTGGTGTTATTACTTTTTGTTCTTGGGCAAATCAGTTCATGTCTCTGGGCCTCAGTCTCCTCAGTAAAATGAAGGGTCTAGATTAGGTCATCTCTTAAGGCCCTTTCCATCTGTAAAACACGGTTCCATAGTTCTGAGTTCACTTCTTATGATAGCATTTTGTGCGCTCTCAGTTAATCAGTAAACATTTATTAATCCAGGAGCTAAGGATACAAAGAAAAAATGTCCCTGTTCTCAAAGAGTTTGCATTCTACTACCATCACCACTACTACTACAACTACCACCACCACCACCACCACCACTATCACTACTACTGTCACCAATGTTACTACTACTACTACCACCACCACCACTACTACCACAACCACTACTATCACCACTACCACCACCACCACCACCACCACCATCACTTCTACAACTACAACTACTAATACTGCTACAGCTATTGCTAGCTGACATCTATATAATACCTACTATGTGCCAGGGACTATGCTAAGTGCTTTACAAGTATTATTTCACTTGATCGTTGCAACAACTCTGGGAGGTAGATGCTGTTATTATCCCCATTTTACAAATGAGGAAACCAAGGTAGAAGTTAAGTGACTTGCCCAGGATCACTCAGCTAGTAAGTGTCTGAGGCTGGATTTTAACTCAGGTCTTTCTGACTCTGGGCCTAGCACTCTATCCATTGCACCACATTGAGAACACAACATGCAAGTATATTCAAAACAAATCTATACATATATTCTGTGTTGTCATTCCCTTGTAACTTTAATGGTTTGGGTGTGTGTGTGTGTGTGTGTGTCTGTGTCTGTCTGTCTGTCTGTCTGTCTGTCTGTCTCTGCCTCCTCCTTTTGGCTGTGTTTTTGTTCTGGCTTTCCTAAAGTTCAAATGCCCTTTGATGCATTCTGAGATGCCCTTGGCTGACCACTGCTTCTGAAAGCTTTTGAAATTGCGAGGCCAGCAAGATGCCATACATAATAAACACAGCATTTTGTGCCAGCGTGAAAATTGTCTCTGCTTTATTGCAGGAGCGAGTAAATTTAGCACGACAGATCGAGAAGGAAGAATACTACAATAGCCGAGCAAAGCAGCACAACGCCTGGTTCCAGCAGGCTGCTGATGCTCTCGAAATAGATCTGGACGATGACATCTTCATAGGCAAGCGGAGGGTCCTTGGGGCGGGGAGCCAGGCTCTCGTCTGGTGGGGTACATCTGTGCTGAGATATGGGGGCAATCACAAAGGGGCTTGGGGGCTGCCTTTCTTTGTGGAACAAGAGCAGAATGGCAAAGCTGCAAGGGACCTTAGAGATCACTGCTGGGGAGAGGGATGGAGAAGGTCAGACTAACTGCCCAGAGCGCTCAGGCCCCGCACTAGTGGAAAACAGTCAAGTTTTACATTATCAGAGAATATGGAACGTCAGTAGGAGGCAACCTTTAGAAGTCATCTCATTCAACCCTCATTATTTTACCAAGAAGGGAGGCTCTGATAAAGGAAGTGATGAACCCAGGGTGACAGAGCAACTCTGTGTCAGTCAGGGTCAAGACTAGAATTGGCTTTTTAGAGCTCAGTGGCAGGTTTGGTGGTGCGGTACCTAGAACGCTGGACCTAGAGTCAAAAAGACTTGGGTTGAAATCCAGCCCCAGATGCTACTTACTAGCAGTGTGACCCTGGGAGAGTCATTTAACTTCTGCTTGTCTCAGTCTCTTTAACTGTAAAATAAAGTGGTAACCAGCTCCTCCCTCTCAGAGTTGTTTTTAGGAGCAAATGAGGTAATATTTGTGAAAGGCTTGGCAAAGTGCCTGGCATGTAATAGGAACCTTTTTAATGCTGTTAGGGCAGCTAGATGGCTTAGTGGACAGAGTGCCAGACCTGGAGTCAAGAAGACTCATCTTCGTGAGTTCAAATCTGGCCTCAGACACTTAGTGGCTGTGTGACCCTGGATAAGTCACTTAACCCTGCTTGCCTCAGTTTCCTCATCTGTAAAATGAACTGAAGAAGGAAATGGCAAACCACTCCAGTATCTTTGCCAAGAAAACCCCAAATTAGGTTACAAAGAGTCTGACATGACTGAAAAAACGGCTGAACAACAGCAACAGTTTAATGCCGTTCCCTTCCCCCTTCAGTACATGAAGTGTAGGACTTGGGAGTCAGGAATATCTGAGTTCACATTCCTCCTCAGACACTTAACTAGCTGTGTGATCCTGGCAAGTCATTTAAACTATAACTGCCTCAGTTTCCTCACCTGTAAAATGGGGATAATAATAGCACCTTCTTCCCAGGGTGGTTGTAAGGATCAAATGAGGTGCTTAGCACAGTGCCTGGCACATAGAAGGTGCCTATTTAATGCTGTTCCCTTCCCCCTTCAGTAAGGAAGGAAAATCTTAGGTCACCTTCCTCCTCAGATATTTCCTAGCTGGTGTGAGGGCAAATTGCTTAACCACTTAACCTTAAGGTAGAGTTTAAACTTAACCTTAATCTCTGGGTGCCTCAGTTTCCTCAACTGTAAAATGGGGATAATAACAGCATCTACAGCACCCACCCCTCCACCCCCTGAGGGTGCACGAGTTTAACATATTTAAAGTGCTTTGCAAATCTTAAAGCTCTAGACAAATGCTGTTATTGTTAATAATACATTGATGTTCCAATTTCTCTTGCTCCATGGCCAGTAATAATAACAAACACTTACATTTATGTACTACATCAGGGTTACTGATGTACAGTACTTCCTACAAGATGGCAGGCAGGAGTTTTTAGAGGCCCTGTGGTATATAGCAAAAAGCATGCTGGATTTGGAGTCGGGTTACTTGGGTTAGAAGACCACCTCCAGCATTGATTATGTGAACAGATCTCATAACCTTTAAGAAGCCTCAGTTTTCATCTGTAAAATGGGATGATAACGGCTTCCTCTGTTATAGCTCACAAATGTATTGTGAGGAAAGCACTCGGGAAATCTGAACTCCTCATGATTCTGCGTTAGTTTGTCTCTCCTGTTTTACAGCTGAGGAAACTGAAGCCCAGGGAGGAAGTCAGACCATCCATTGTGTGTCCTAAGCACCGCAGTCCTTTGGCTCTTCCCTGTGGACTCTCACACATAGGAGAGGTTTCTCTCTCTAGGTCACTACATTACCTCCTTCCCCATCCTCTTCTTAGAGGCCCTGCCCTCCTCCTTTACTAAGGAAATTGAGGTAATTGAGGCACAGTGTCCTTCCCTCAGAACCCCTCCACCTTATTCCCGGCTCTCTTCTCCTTTGCTCCTGTCTCTGAAGAGGTGGCCCTTCTCCTCGTCAAGGACATCTTTTTTACTTGTGCGCCACCCCGTCTTCTCTCCTTTGAACCTTGCCCCTTTGATTGTCTTTTGGTCTCTCACTCTTACTCTTCATCTTAAATTTGTCCTTTATCTCCTGGCTCCTTCCCTGCCACTCACAGACATGCCCAAGTCTCTCCCATCCCTCTGTCCTTCACATGACCTTGCATCTTCTGAAGCTGTTTTCCTAGAGCTCTGCTCCCTTAATAATGAGCTATTTCTCCCTCTATAGCCTCTCACCTATCTCATCCACCTCTGTGCATTCAATGATTTTTCTAGATTCCTGAGAATCTATATATTTAGGCCAGGTGACAGACATTCATTATATACTTACTATGTGTTAGGCACTATGCTAAGCACTGGGGATACAAACTACAAACAAAAAGAAAGATAGGCCTGTCCTCAAGAAGCTTACATTCTAGATAGAAAAGGGGAAGTGTGGAAGGTGCCAGAGCAAGGGGAATGGTAGAGAAAAGTCTGGAGCAGAGGCAGGAGGGGAATGTTAATTAGCTGACTTGGACCTCTCCCCAAGTCCAGAAATTCAGAGGTAAAGTCAGGAGAGGAGCCTAATCTTTCTCCCTTGAGACTATAGTCCCATTTATTGAAGGACAGTAAGTTACTGAGGACAGTGTTATAGTGAGGCCTGTGTTCTACTAAAAAAAAATGTGGTATCACTCAGCTTTCAATGAAATATCTCCTAGCGAAAAGTTAGTAACTGAATATGTGTTATCTGTTCTGCATGACAAGTCAGCAGATTCCAATGAACAAACAGACTGCCAAAGGGGTCTTACCTGGTCTTTTCTACCTGGCATACTAATGCCCTGGGTCCAGTACTGAACACATCCTCTTCTTCCCAAACCTATCTCTTCCCCAGACTTCCTTTCTTTTGTTGAGGGCCTCCCCAGTCTCCATGTCGCCCAAGTTTGAACCTCCAGAGTTGTCTTTCCTTCTTTCTTATATCCTCTGTCCAGCCAGCTGCCAAGTCTTGTCGGTTCTACAGCCACCGGTCAGTTAAGCATTTATTAGATGCCTGTTGTGTATCATATACTGCTAGGGTTTGAGGATGGAAAGGATGAAATAATCCCTGTCTTCAGGGAGCTTACTTTCTATTGGGGAGACAACTTGTACATATAAAAACACATACGAATGAAATGCAAAATAATTGGGGAGGGGATCAGGAAAGGCTTCATGTAGACCAGGGGTCTAAACACCCTTTGTGTGTGTCATGGACCCCTTTGGCAGTCTGTTCATTGGGACCTGTTGACACGTCATGCAGAAGAGACAACATATTTACTAACTTTTCAGTAAGAGACATCTCACTGAAAGCTGAGTAATAACCACCTTTTTTTAGTAGTACAACATTGTCCTCAGAGCCTTGCCTGTGGGCCTCTGTTACAGATAGAAATAGTGTCATAAAGAGAAGCATCTGGTATATCCAATAAAGACTTTGCTTAGACAGGGTTCTTAGAGTCATAGATTGGAAAGTGGGAAAGGGCCTTAACATACCAAGTGTTAGAATGTAGTATATTAGGGCTTGTAGAGACCTTAAACTATGAGATTTTAGAGTCAGAATGAACCTTAAGGGTCATATATGGTCTAATCCACCAGCCCTGTTTTTCACTGTGTGGGAAGCTCTTAGGAAACAAACAGGTGAATGCTGCTTCTGATTGCTTGTGTGACTTGGAAAAACTAGCCATAAGAAGTTGCCCTGAATCATTCTGCCTGCCTCCTTCCCTTTGTAGATGCAGTGTAAGTTAAGCATATTTGATCTGTGTATCGAAAGAGGCAGTAGTTGGGCTGCATTCAAAGCATCATCTCTGGAGGGATTTTTAGCTGGGTAGTCAGCAAACCTTTGTTTTTCCCATCAAGCCTACATGGATAATACTAAGCTTCTTCAAAGTCCTTTTGTACTTTGCCACCCAAAAGAGCACTGAGTCTGTGAAAATATCCTTGCAAGGGGAGAGAGGAAAGGTTTCTAAAAATTCCCATTAATAAATAAATAAACCTTTTTAATGTTTTTCCAAGGAGGAAGACGTAACGAACAAGAAGAGAGTCAGAAACAAAGGATGATGAAAGGAATGAAAAAACAGTTAAAACATCTGCTTTCCCAACCTGTATTTAAAAACCTCATGAAGACCAAGTATCCGACACAGTTTGGAAGGCTGACAGTGCCCGAGATGCCCTTTCACACTTCAGAGTCTGCTCTGAGCACTGTATCCCAGCAGAAGAAGAAGAGAAAGAAGAAACAGCCAATTATGAGCATAAATTAACTACCGACAAACCAAAGCTCATTGGTGGCAACAGTGTGGTGGCTTTGTGCAGCCCTCCTCCTCCTCCCTGTCTGCTCCTGTGGGTAGGAACACCACCTCCCTGCTATTCTCACAACAGGGAAGACAATGCCATGGCTGGTTATGCAGTCAGACTAGTCAAGAGTTAGCAGCTCTTACTCACCCCATTCATTCTGATGCTGTTACATCCCTAACATATGTAGAGCCTTTTTTTTTTTTTTTTTTAATTAAAAGCCATGGATTAAATGGAGACGGTTGTCATGAATTTTTAGTTGGAAGGCGAAACGATTGGGGTAATTGCAAAAATCCAGCTAGAGTAGGCTTCGTGATATCACAGTTACTTAGTTAGAAGCTCATGGTTTTAGGGCTAACAGTAGACCTGAGAATCCTACTCCCTCATTTTACAGATAAAGAAACTGAGGCCTAGAGAATTAAGCGTCCAGAGTCATACAGGTTGTAAGCAGCAAAACGAAGATTTGAATGTAGGTCCTTTGACTCTCAATCCATGTTGTCCATTCATTTCAGTCACATCTAACTCTTCGTGACCCTAATTGGGTTTTTCTTGGCAAAGATACTGGAGTAGTTTGCCATTTCCTTCTCCATATCATTTTACAGATGAGGAAACTGAGGCAAACAAGTTTAAGTGCCTTGCTTAGGGTCACACAGCTTGTAAATGTCTGGGGCCATATTTGAACTTGGGAAGATGAGTCTTCCTGACTTCAGGCCTAGCTCTCTATCCACTGTGCCACTGAGCTGTCCCTAAATCCGTGACTCTCCTCATTTTTTCTTAAACATTAATTTTTAGTCTGGACCTATGGTTTCACTAGTATAGGGAACTTCCAGCAAGGGAACTCCTAGTGTCAGTGGAGATCAGTAACTGTTTTGCTACTTGCCATCTTAGAGTGTTGGCTGGAGCAGTGAGAAATTAAGGGAGATGCCAAGACAGTATGGCGCAAACCTGGGACTCGCACTCATGTCTGTTTCCTGGGCCGGGGATTCTCAACCCTTTTTGACATTTGGGCAGCGTTTGTTGGCATTGTGTAGCCCAAGGGCATGCTCAGTGCAAAGTGCCTATGCCTTGTGTTCAGAACCAAGGCTGCAGGGAATTTGCCCAATGCAACAGGCCAGCGCTGCCAGAAACACCTCAGATTCATCACGTGTTTGATTTTTAATTAATTTTTGGTCATTGCATGTTCAGAAACCTTTAGGTCGGGACCCACAGTTTAAGAAGTGTTGTCTAGGCTGACCATCCACTACAATACAGTAACCCACATTGGTATAGTCCTTTATAGTTTACCAAGTGCTTTACCCACATCCCAGGGGAACCATTTCATCATTTCTGACTTGGCTTATCTCCTAGACTTCATCATTGTCTCCACAAACGCATCTTCCTGCAAGATCGTGGCAACTCTGAAACTCACACTTCTTCAGGACTCCTTTCCCTGGGGCTCCTTTGTCCAGCTGAGAGGGAGAGGGTGGAGGGTGGACAGTGGGGAGGCCTTCCCAGACTCTTCAGTTAAGAGGGACCCGCCCAGGGCAACCATCTCATCATTTCCCACCTGGCTGCAGAACTGTATCATGCCCCTACATACCAAGTATCCTCCTTTCCTCCCCAACCTCCTTTTCAGCATCTTTCTATGTGCTGTCATCCACCATTAGATTGTGAGCTCCTTGAGGGCAGGGACTATCTTTTGCCTTTATATCCCCAGAGCTTAACACAGTGCCTGGAACATCGTAGGTGCTTAATAAATGTTTATTGACTGACTAACTGACAAACCTCTCTGGGAGATGGATAATACAGGTATTATTATCCCCATTTTAGAGAAGAGGGAATTCGTGGTCAGAGAAATTTTAAGTGACTTGCTTGGAGTCACAAAGCTTGGAAGGAGCAGAACCAGTACTGGAACCCAGGTCTCCTGATTCTTTCTACTACCTCATGCTAAGCAAAAAAAAAAAAATAATAAAAAAAAATAAAATTGAGAGAGAGACAAGAATTGGAAATGGGGCAGCTTTGCAGTTAAATGCATATGACTCCTCAACCTGCATCTCCTTTGTTTGATCTAGCTTTCTTTTTTTGTAGAATAGAAAATGAGTAAGATCAAATAATGTGCTGTGCTGGCTAAAGTTATAGCTCATTCTGTGCTAACTGAATCAATAAAAGAAATTAAAATCTGGTCTCAGATACTTCCTAGCTGTGTGACTCTGGAAAAGTCATGTCTTCCTCAGTTTCCTTATCTGTAAAATGGAGATAATAGCACCTACCTTCCAGGAGGTAATAAATCTTGAGGATGAAGTCTAAAGCACTAAATTGCTACATTAATGCTGCTGTTTTGATTACTACTATTAATAATAGCATTTACATATGCTAATGAAAGCTCAAAATCTACTCCTTTTGTTGTTGTGTCCAACTCTTTGTGACCCCATGGACCGTAGCACGCCAGGCCCTTCTATCCCCCACTATCTCGAAGTCTGTCCAAGTTTCATGTTTGTTGTTTCCATGACTTATTAACCATCTCCTTCTCTACTGTCCCCTTTTTCTTTTGCCTTCAGTCTTTCCCAACATCAAGGTCTATTCCATTTGAGTCCCATCTTCTCATTATGTGGCCAGAGTATTTATACTTCAGCTTTAGTATTTGACCCTTCAGTGAATAGCCCAAATTAATTGGGGTTAAGTGACTTGCCCAGGGTTGGTGCTCTATCCACAAATTAATTTCTTTTTAAGTATTGACTGATTTGATTTCCTTACTGTCCAAGAACTCTCGAAAGTCTTCTCTAGCACCACAGTAGTAGATTTTTGAGCTCTCGTTGGCTATCCCAATTAGCTATCCCAAACTTTGTGGAGTTTGTTCAATTATAGACTCGTAAGATGTAGAGCTAGAAGTAGGGGTCTTAGAGAAACCATGAATTTAATCCATTCCGCTCATTTTACAGAAAGAAAACCAAGTCCCAGAGAAGTATGGCTCTGAGAGATTAAGTGATTTACCTGAGTTCACATGGCCAGGAAGTAGTAAAGATAGAATTTGCACCTAGGTGTTCTAAAACCAGAACTTTTCATTATACCAGTGTGGGTAAGTAAAACCAGAGAAGGAAAAAGTACTTTGTAGTGAGGAGTTAGATGGCCTTGAGCTATGATGTTAGGCAGGCTTTTTATGCCCAGGTTTGGGTAGATAGGGGGAAATATCCTTATTTTTTTTTAATTTGGTGACTTTGGGAGGGCAGGAGAATGGAATTCTGTTAGTATTGAAGGCCAACAATAGCTAATGATAGCTATTGTTGGTTTGAGGTAGCAGAAGAGAAGGAAAAGAGAATGTGAGGGGAGGTAGCAAAAAAAAAAAATACATGTATGGTGCTTTGGGGCAACCAGTGATAACACTTCAAGGATCTATGATTTCAGTGGCATGGACCATCCTTCCCTACAGAGCATATTCTCAGTAGAGTTTTTGAGTTCCTGTGGGTGAAAAAAAAAATTCATCCCATTGAAACTTAGCACATCGAACTCCTTGGCCCTTAAACCTAGGTGGGATGACTGATCGGTGCTAGGCCCAAACTTCTTGGTGCACTCTGGTGGCATAGTCATCAAGACCCCGGGCTCATTGCCACGCATCCCTGGAGGATGAACTTCTGGGGGGTCGACATATAAATGCTTCATCATAAAGCCCTTCCCATCTGTTTGCTTGATCCTTCCAGTAGCCTTGTGAGATAGGTAGTGAGGTCATCATGCCTTTTTTATAGATGAGGATACTGATGTTCATAAATGTTATGCAGTTTTTCCAGGATCCCACAACTAGTCATCAATAGAGTCTGGACTGGACCCCAAGGTTTCTCTGATGAAAAGTCCCACGCCCATTCTGCTATTCCATGGTACCTTTCTCTCATGACTGTGTCAGGTACCATGCGTTCATTGTCAGGCGAGAGTAACATTGTGTAGACAAGGCTTAGAAACAGTAGCTGCAAAGGTAACCTTAGAAATGACTTTGTAGCTATTTTGTTTGCTAGATAAGGACACAGGCTCTGAACAACACAGTGACTTCCTGAAGGTCACCTAGCTAGTGAGTGATATGGCCAGGATTCAAACTCCAAAGGCTCCCAGTTGTGGTCCTGTTACCCTAGGATACTAAAGTAGACCATTGGGTGAATTACTGAGACTTTGTTAATTACCCAGATCATTTCTTAATGGGAACCCATTTTATAAGTGCTGATCATCTAACATACTTTGTCTAGCAGACAAATAATTCATCAAGCAGCCCAGGAGCTTTATTCAGAGAGGGAAAAAAGGGGACAGGCATTCAGAAGTCAGCTAACTTACCCCCTACAAGGGTTTGGTCCATGCCCCATGGTGTGTAGCAAATGAAGCTGTAAGACAGCTCAGCCACTGGGGAGATGTTTACCCCTAAGGTCATGGTTTCATCCAAGCTTGAGCAGGCCGCACCCTTTCAGCCCTGACGTTTGGGAGAACTCCAAATCTTGCCAAGATTATTTATTGATCACGCAGCACATGAGCCAATGAGGCTACAGTATCTGCAGCGAACAGCTGATTGAAACCTTACACAACAGCTGCCCAGTCGACAACATTCCTCTTAGAAGTCCTGACTCATTAGAGAAAGTGGCAGGCGTGAAGGACTGGTATGCGAGAGGGAGAAATAGCCAACTTGGTGAACAAAGGTTGTTATGGCAATGGACGTTGCTCACCAAAAAAAAAAAAAGCTTTTGACAGAACACCTGGGAAACCTGCAAGGGTGTTGTCAGGCAGGGGTCATCAAGGTGAAAGCATTGTTTTACCTGGATGTAAAATTTTGAAGTATTACATAAATCAAATATGGAGCACTGGTCATCCTGTTTGGGCCAGTGGTGAAGGGAAACAATTGACTGGGAGGATCCCAAATGGCATCAGCCTGGTAAAGGAGAGCATTGGTTTTGGCGTAGGAAGACCTAGATTTTAATGTCAGCTTTACTCCTTACTAGTAAGTCAGAGCACTGGACTTGGAGTCAGGAGGATGTGAATTTCTGTTTCAGATACTTTGTTACTGTGGGCAAATCACTTAATTTTTTCCCAGGTTCAGTTTCTTCATTTGTAAATGAGGATAATAGCACCTTCCTTCTAGGTAGCACAGTGTATATAGACCACCAGACCAGGGGCCAGGAAGACCTGAGTTCAAATCAGACACTGTGTGACCCTGGGCAAGTCATTTAACCCTGTTTGCCTCAGTTTCCTCATCTGTAAAATGAACTAGAGAAGGAAATGGCAAACCATTCCAGGATCTTTGCAAAGAAAATGCTAAATGGGGTCCCAGAGAGTTGGATATGACTGAAACGACTGACCAACAAAAAGTACCTACCTCATTCACAGGGTCTGTTGTGGAGCCCAAACAAGATAACATGTAAAGCTCTTCGCAAATGTTAACATGCTATGTAAATGCTAGTTTGTCTTATTATTATTATGTCACTCACCTTGAGTCCTACTTTCCTTATCAATCAATATAGTGGAGCTGAGGAGGGGTTTGACTGGATTTACTCTCAGCACCCAGTCCTCTGTATACTGCAGCGGGTTCTATTTCTGACTCTAAGACACTAATTTCACGGCATTGGACAAGTCACTTCGTCTGTAAAATGCCCATCTCACATGGCAGTTGTGAGGAAAGTGCTTTGTAAACTATAAAATGGGGTAGAAACGTGAGCGGCTATTATTATCATCTATTTCATTTTGGAATGTGGTTTTTGTTCTCATGTTTGAATATGGGCTTATTTAACATTCCAAGAATTCCTAACACTTCATGTTAAGTCAGTGAAGCCACACTGAAGACCCAAACCAAAAAGGCTGGAAAGTTTGGTTTTGCCCTCCTGCTCCCTGATTTAACCAGTTTTTGTTCCCGTGGGTTAAGGTGGGATAGCATCACTCACAGGTGCAAAGCACGATCCTAAGGGGAGCAGCGTTCTATCATTAAATTTATTTGATAGGGCAGAATATGGGGTGGCAGATGTTAATTTATGGGGACCTTCAGTTCCACCTTTCAAAGCTTTCATTGTTAAGTGTTGTTTATATCGAGCTAAAATATGCTTCCTTGTAACAACCCTACATCGGGCCTAGTTCTGCTTTCCTGGGCCAGGGAGGCTAATCCCTCTTCTAATACCTGACTGCAGTTCTCTCTTCCACATCTTCTCACTTCTGGGGAAAACATCCCACAGTTCCTATAACCAAAGACTGCCCTGTGGAAATGTGGCATTGTCAGGGAGAGTTTCTTAAGGAGGGTCATGTTGAAGGCAAGACTTGCTTCCATATTCTTTGATTTGGGTAGCTTGCCCCGGCAAAAAGTGCTGACTGTATGCATTTCCAAACCATGCCGAATATTTTAAAGTTAAAATTCTGATTCATAATTCTCATTTTCTCCTAATATCTCACATATTTTTCTCTAGGTTTACAAAGTGCTTTCCTTAAAACATGAGGTAAGTGGCTAAAATATATCCCCATTTTACAAAGAGGGGAAAGAGAGGCGCAGAGAGGTGACTTACGCCAAGGTCACAGAGCTTGTAAATAATAACATTTATATAGTGCTTACTATGCACCAGGCACTGTGCTAAGAGCTTCACAAGCATCCTCTCCTTTGATCCTCACAACCACCCTGGTGGTGGTGTTGTCAGTTGTGACCAACTCTTCGTGACCCCACTTGGGGTTTTCTTGGCAAAGATACTGGATTGGTTTGGCCTTTTCCTTCTCTAGCTCATTTTGTACATGAGGAACTGAGGCAAACAGGGGTAAGTGACATGCCTAGGGTCACACAGCTAGTCAATGTCTGAGGCTGGATTTGAACTCATGAAGATGAGTCTTCCTGATTTCAAGCCCAGTGCTTTATCCACCTAGCTGCCTTGGGAGGTAGGTGCTGTTATTATCCCCCATTTTACAGATAAGGAAACTGAGGCATAGATTAAGTGACTTGCCCAGGGTCAATTAACTAGTACGTGTCTGAGACTGGAGTTGAACTCAGGTCTTCCTGACTCCAGGCCCAAAGCTCTATGCACCTTGCTGCCTAGCTGCCTAAATGTTCTTTAAAGCCATTGATTCCCCTCCCCCCCAATAGCACTTGCTCTCTCACTGACTTAGAAACAGCCCTTTGGATTAGAACAGATTTCTTTTTTTTTTTATTGGCTAGGCAATGGGGTTAAGTGACTTGCCCAGGGTCACACAGCTAGTAAGTGTCAAGTGTCTGAAGCCACATTTGAACTCAGGTCCTCCTGACTCCAGGACCAGTGCTCTAATGACTGCATCACCTGGCTGCCCCTAGAATAGTATTCTTAAGAAGCAAGAGCAAAAAACAGGTGATTACAAGGAGTTTGTTTCCTGAATTTTGGGGGAATGAAAAAAGGATCGCATAGGTGAAATTACTCCCCAAAATACCGACTGTGGGCAAGTACCATTTAGATATGATCCTGCCTGGGACAAAATACATAAAAACAACTTTCTTTTTCTCTGTCTGGTGTCTGCCTGTACAACTGTTTCCTTATGTGTGACATGCAGATTATACATCTAAATTCACAGCATAACTTCTAACAGAGAACTTACATGCTAACATTAAAAAAAATAAAAATCATGCTGCTTTGAGTTCTGATGAAGAGGACTAAGTGGCAGATCACACAATAATGTTCAGAGTTTTTATATACTTCAGTAAATTAAGTATTTATTTATTCATTTTTAAGTATTTATTTAGACGAACCAGATCATTTGGCTTCATTTGGCTGGGTGGTTGAATACAATGCTAGTCTGTGCAATGGGCAGTGAAAAATAATGTTGGAAGATCCTATTAATAATAGTTGACAGTCATTAAACATTAAACACCCTACTATGTGCTAGGTACTGTGCATCATCAAAGGATGTTTTCTCCTACTACTTGAGGTGGTTGAATACAATGCTAGTCTGTGGAACGGGCAGTGAAAAATAACATCGGAAAATCCCATCAATAATAGTTGATAGTCAATAAACATTTATTAAGCACCCTACTATGTGCTAGGCACTGTGTATCCATCAAAGGATGTTTTCTCACTACCACAACATTTTAACATACAGATCAATGCACTGGTGTCCAGAAAACAGGGTACAGCAGTTAATATATAATTCATGGATCAGAGTCCCATCCACTGTGAAGAACAAATAATTAGTTCTCGTGCCATGATTTCACAAGTGCTGACTGAACCTGAGCTCCTCATGTGAAATTCGAACACGTTTTCATTTACATAAGAAGCCAAATATCTTTAATGAAAGTAGAACATTGTTTTCAAACAAGTGTTCAAACATTGGCACTACACTTGTAAACAGTAAGCTTTGTTTTTTAAGCAACGACATCAACAGTAGCACCAACAGATCCTGAAAATCCCCTTAGAATTGGAACCTGAGGGAGGAAGGCCTGTAAATTTAAGAACTGGTGTAGAAGTGTCCTATGATGTTATCTGAAGTCTTCTCCCTCTTTTCCTTCGGAAGAAGGCACAGCTGCTAGCAGTGCCTATCAGAAGAGCTGGTGTTTTCACTTAGTTGTTCATTCTTACTCTGCTCCCCAATCTCCCCCTTCTTTTGCCCCACCCCCCCACCCCCTCCCCTAGCCTAGTTTTCTTTTTGGTTGTATAAAAAGTGGGACAGGAAGAAAACTTGATAATTACTTATGATTTCATAGGATGAAGAGTTAAAAAGACAAACAAAAACCCTGTAAAAAGAAACAAAAACAAAACAAAACAGTCCTGTGAGATTCTAGCATGTAACCCTTTCATTTCACAAATGAGGAAATAGGCCTAGAAGTGGTGATTTGCCTAAGAATAGAAAGGAAGGGGCAGAATTTGAATTCAGTGCCTCTGACTCCACATTTAGTATTCTTTCTACTACCGGCCTTGGAGGTTGTGAACCCAAATCAATGTTTTCCTAAGGGCTAATCACCAGACTCTCTTCTCAGGGAGCTTTAGTGCTGAAATTTGGTCTCTTGTGCTGTTCCTTTTTTTTTTTAAAATAACATTTTATATAGCACCTACTATGTGCCAGGCACTGTGCTAAGCACTTTATAGATAGTCTCTCATTTGTACAATCCTGGAAGGAAGGTGCTATTTTGATTCCCACTTTATTGTCCAGGAAACAGGCAGGCAGAGGTGACTTGGCCAGCGTCACACAGCTAGTAAATGTCTGAGGCTAGATTTGAACTCGTGTCTTCTTGATTTCAGGCCCAACACTCTATCCAACCGTCCCACCTAGCTGCCTCCTCACCATTTTTCATTGGTTTGCTTCAGTTTCCTAAGCCAGAAATGGTAAGGGAGTTAAGGGAGCTGGTCAGGAAGACACATAGAGCTAGATGACAAATATGCCTGATTTTCATCTTTTTTCAGAATCTAAGTAGAGTTGGTCCTGGTTAGTACTTAGATAGAAGACTGTCTGGAAATGATGGTTGCTGTGTTTTAGAGGTACCATAGTGAAGTATGTGGGGCGCACTGAACTAAGTCAGGAAGGCCTGGGTTCAAATTCTGACTCAGACACTAGCTGTGTGACATTGGGCAAACATCACTTCTTTTTAGTTTCCTCATATGCAGAAGGGGAGCGATGGATGTGATGGCCTCTAAGGGCCACCATAGGACTTTACAGTCCTATGCTAATGAGCAGGATTTAGAAACAAACCAAGTTAGTTCTCAGTTAGAGGCTGTAGTATGGGGGGGGGAGGCGGGGCGGGGCTCTCGACTCAACTGCCCCTGGAAATTTGGATATCTTTGGGCCCAGTGAGAGCGTAGCTCTTCATTGTGCTCTCAAGCTGATTTTCAAATCAAAACAGATACACTGTTGAAGAGATAAGGACGCCTAGCTTGGCAGACTCCACCACAGGCCTAATTTCTTCTGTTTGTACATACTATGGTGTATGCCTGCTCAGTGGCTCCTCCTGGTTGAACTGGCCATTCAGCTTAAATAAAAGGTGATGTCAGACCACTAACCAATCAGTGGGAAGAGCTCTGGCTTTGGCATTAGGAGACTTGACTGGGTTTACATTCTAGCTCTGCCCTTTTTACCCTGGGCAAGTCATTTGACTTTTCTGGGCCTCAGTTTTCCTATCCGTACAATTCTAAACCTTTTTTATATAATGGACAGTTTTGACAGTCTGGTGGAGCACACAGACCTATTCTCAGAATAAGAAAGATAAATTGAAGGAAATGCTAAATGTCGGTGAGAGGTTAGTGAAAATAAACACATAATATTTTTTCTCATTTAAATTCACAATCCTCCTAAAAATCTATCCATGGACCCCAGGATAAGAACTCCCAGATCCCAGAGTATATGATTTCAGGTAGGTGGCCCTTTCAACATTAAATCTAATGATCCTAAACTGATTTGGCTCTGATGGGGGCTCTAGCAATCAAAATATCATATGTGGAAACAATTTTCCCTGTCTCTTCTTGTGAAGGATTACCTTTGGTGAACAGCTATAGTCCACATAATATTAAGAAGTGGAAAAATGAGATCTTCAACATCTGCTTACTCACCCACCCTGCCCCATTTTACAGATGCAGATACTGAGCTCCAGAGAGCCAATGATTTGTTAAAAAATGGGCATCAAGTGAGTGGCAGAGCCAGGATTCCGACCCAGGTCTCCCGATTGCTCATCAAGTGCTCTTTTCTCACACCATTTACCCAGTCGGAGGTGGAAAACATTTGGTCCGTAGCCAAAACAAACATTATTAATGTTATCAGAAGTCAGTCAATGACAGGTGATCTAGATGAGGTAAAAAGCAGCCTTTCTGTGGGTTAATTGGCATCACCCAATACAGAACCTGGGGACAACCTTGTAAGTGATGTGTCCCCAAAGGCTGTACATTTCCTTCTAGCTAATGAAACATCTAAATCATTAAAAAAAAAAACAAAACCAGAATGCTCTATTAGAATGGAGTCCTGTCGTGTGACACTCTACACCGCAGGGCCTAAAATTAACCCACTTTATCAGTTGCATAAAGTATGTTGTAGTGTGATGTTTTATAAAGTAGATAAACGGAAGGGCAGGCAGCCTCGGAAAATACATGGTGGTTCAGTGCGGTGTCCATTTCATCCACATACTCAACTTGAAGAGGAATGTTCAGTGCCTGAGACAGAGCCGTGATCTGAACATGATCGCACTCTGTGGCCATGGGCTCCACTTCCTGCGGACACCAACGAGAGAACGGTGTTCAGAGAGACAGGACAAGACATTAGGGGGATCAGGAATGGGTTCGGGGGGGTTGATTCCCCAGTAACTGATCAGCTTTGCTTTATTCCATGGACACACTAGCCCACACTGCAGTTGATAATATATGGCCAGTCATAGGAGAGAATTAGTGCCATGTGAGATAAAAGAATGGATTGCCAAAACCCATCCAAGATAGGGAGAAATAACCACCTATGCACTTTACTGAGTAGCCCAGAAAACAGTAACGATAATAGTGGATAGTGCCCTGGGCCTAGAGGCAGGAAGATCTGAGTTCAAAACTGGCCTCAGATACTAGTTTTGTGACCCTGGGTAAGTCACTTAACCTCTGTTTGCCTCAGTTTCCTTATTATTATTTATTTTTATTACTATTATTTCCTTATTATTATGTATTATTTACATTTATTTAATATTTATTTTTATTATTATTATTTCCTTATTATTATGTATTATGCGGGTAACAATAGCACCTACCTCCCAGGGTTATGGTGAGGATTAAAATAATTGTAAAGTGCTCAGCTCAAAGCCTGGCACATAGTATGAGTTATATAAATGTTGTTGTTCAGTTATTTCAGTCACGTCCAACTCTTCATGACCCTATTTGAGGTTTTCTTGGCAAAGTTACTGGAGTAGTTTGCCATTTCCTTCTCCAGCTCATTTTACAAATGAGAAAACTGAGGCAAACAAGGTTAATAACTTGGCCAGGGTCACACAGCTAGGGTCTTAGGCCAGACTTGAACTTATGAAGATGAATCTTCTTGACTCCAGGCCCAGCACTCCATCTACTACATCACCGAGCCGTCTTTAAAATAGGCTTTTAACTGTTAAAACTTTAATAAACATGTATTATTTTTTGACTGCCTGCCAAATTCTGTATTACTTGGCTGTGACAGATAAACAGTATAAATAAGATAGTTCCTGCCCTCTTCTCTCTGGGCTCACAATGTATTAGAACTAGAAGGGGGCCTCTATATCAAAGTATGTCGCTCAAGGTTACACAGCTAGGCAGTGTCAGATCCAGGACTCAAATCCAGGTTCCCTGACTCTCAGGATGACTCTTTCTTCCCTGAGGGACATTGAGGGCACTGGGTACAGGAGCAGAGGTCAATATTCTCCCAGGTCTGCCTCTGGATACAAACAGTGAACATAGCTGCATCTAAGACTCTCCCTTGGCTGCTACTAAAGGGGTAAACCTACTTGAGCACAGAAGTCTTTGACATCCATCTCCTCATCAATGAAATGCCTGAAGAAATCTGCCCGGTTCTTGATGAACGCAGAGGTGAGAAGCCTAAGGAACTGGACGATTCGATCAGAAAAGCTCTGGTCATTGAAAACCTTCAGCAAGTTGGAAACAGAGCCATCTTTCTCCACCATTTCAACCAAGCTGTAAAACTAAGGCCAGGGCAGTTAAGAACAAATAGAACACACAAGAATTCATTATTCCTGAGCCTAGGCTTTTCTTTTTCAGGCCCTTGAGTTGATGAATTATAATAACCTCCAAGCTGATATTAATTATTACATATTATATTATCGTGTATTTCAATTATATTATACATTATTACATATTATATTAATTATATAACACATTATATATTAATTATATTACTCATAATAACCTCTAAGCTGCTATTTCCCCAGAACAAAATAAATAATGAATTAGAAATACTTTGTTATTATTTCAGGTCAGTCCAAAGTCACATACTCCAGAACAACCCCCATCCCCAAACTGTAAGTCAGTCACGGGTTCTGGAGAAATTTGAACCTACTTACATGCTTGTTTACTAATTATGAACTTATTGGCTTCCCAGATGTTGAAATGGGAAGGAAACTTAGAATATAGAAATGTTGGAATTGAAAGGGACCCAAGAAACTACAGCAACTATCACATATTATATGTGATATGAGGAAACTGAGGTCCTGAGAGGTCAAGGCAGTTTAGTATAATGAAAAGACTGTTGTTAGATTTGGAGTCAAAAGACCTGGGTTCAAATCTTACTTCTGACACTTATTAGCTTTGTGACAATGGGCAAGTCACTCAAACTCTCTGAGTCTGCTTCCTCCCCTGTAAAATGAGGATGATAGTACCTATCTTCCCAAGGTTACTATAAGGATTAAATGAGATCCTGTGTGGAAAAAAAAAACAACCCTGTAAACCTCAAAGCCTTATATTAATGTTACTATAATTGTTTCCCAGAGCTTTTGTTGTTTAGTCATTTTCAGCTGTGTCCAACATTTCATGACTCCATTTTTGGGTTTTCTTGGTGAAGATACTGGAGTGGTTTGCCATTTCCTTCTCCAGCTCATTTTACATAAGAGGACACTGAGGCAAACAGGGTTACATGACTTGCCCAGGGTCACACAACTAATAAATGTCTGAGGCCATATTTGAATTCAGGAAGATGAGCCTTTCTCACTCCAGGCCCAGCACTCAATCCATTTTTCCACCCAGTGGCCCTTCCCAGCTCTCAGAGCTAGTGTGTGGTATAGCCAAAGGCAACCCAGGCCTCCTAATTTTCAGTCCAGTATTCTTTCTACTATAAAATGCCTCATTACCTCCACCCCCCACCCTGAAGTCACAATCGGTTTAGAAAACTAGGTTATTGTGTGTTTCTAAGTCCAGTTCCTTGGGCTTAAAAATGTTAAAACTTCAACAAACATTTATTGTTTCCTGCATGTAGCAATCTGTGACAGACTGCCTTAGCTACACAATTGAGATAAAAATTCCTGCCTTCATGGACCTTAAATTTCCCTCTGTGGATTTCAGTTTACTCATCTGTAAAATGTGATTTCTAAGTTCCTCAACAGCCTAAGTTCTTTGATTGTTTACACACACACTCCTATTCTATGACACAAAGACAATGCATTAGCTCCAAAGAGAGGAGTTATTTGGGATCTGAATGCAGAAAGGATGTTACTAACAGGGGCTCAGGGGAAGGAAATCAGAGAAGGCTTCATGAAACTGGTAACAAGTAAGTTGAGCTATAAAGGGTGGGCATAAAGTCAACAAGCAGAGAGGGAGGGGGAAAGGGAGAATATTTCAGACACAGAAACAGTTAAAACCTGAGGCAGGAAAGCATACCTCTGAGGTATGGCTGACTAGCCGTGCGACTGAATTAGTGTTTCATATACCAAACAATCCTGAGAAGCATAAATGTCCACATTCTCTACTGGGCATTATTCTGTCCCCCACAACTGCTGTGGGGTGATTCTGAAAGGCTCGGGGGGGGCAGGGTCCAGAGAGTTTGGGGATGGGTGTGGGAGAGAGGAGCAGGACACAAGGAGCAGGAAGAGCCAGTTTTTGAAAGTTAATGGGTAAAAAGAGTAATTTTCATAGTAAATGCTTTACAGATTTGTAAAAAAAAAATTTTTTTTTAAAAAGATTGCCAGTTGGGAAACATAAACTGAGATGAAGTCTCTAAGTATTCCTTATAGCTCTGATATTTGATATCTTAAGGCAGAGGTGTCTTAATGCACAGCCTACAGCCACAATACACGTGAATGTGGCCCAAAGCAGATTAAAATATAATTGAGAAGCATTTAATAAAGTAAATTAAAACACAATAAAACATAGATAATGTTAATATGTGGTTGTCTAAGTCAATATGTGCTCACAAGGATCTTTATGTAGTTTAGTGGCCCCCTTTTCTATTTGAATTTGACATCATTGTTTTAATGTCTCTCCCGGCTCCAAATTTCTATAGTTCTAACATTTAGGACCTGGGACTTCCTCTCTCCATGGCCCAGCTAGTCTGGAGGCAGTGGTAATGCGGCATCAAACAAGGTGTAGGTCAGAAGAGGGAAGATGGGGTGAAATGAGAGGCTGTGTCAGCCTGAGTTTCAGGCCCAGGGTCACAGGATGGTAGATTTACAACTAGATTGTAGAGATTATTTAGTCCAACTGCCTCATCTTATAACTGACAGAACTGAGGCCAAGGAAAGAGAAGCAGCTTCCATAATAAGTAGCAGTACTAGGATTTGAACTCAGGTCCTGACATCTAAGACACCTTGAGGTCCTAAACTATACACCAACTGTAGAATTTTTTTCCCCTCTTTGGATTATTCACTTTTTCCCATGCCCATAAGGGAAATGAAACTCGGCCACTTCTACAGGACAGTCTCAAGCCTGCCTGGGTTAGAGCTCAGTGCTTCATCATTCCCCTACTTTAGAATGTTAACATAGGGCAATTCTGGCCATAAATACTCTCCAGGACCTACTAGGTTTCCCTAGCTCTCTCAACCATGGAGATGCCACTGAATTAGCAACGTAGAGCTTAGGCACACACATTACCCAGCAACAGCACTGGGTCATAGAGTTTGCTAAACATGGGGGAAAAGGATGGAGACTAAGTGTATTCCAAAATCAAACTTTTTTTTTTTTTTAAGATTTAAGGAAATCTGTGATTTCCTTGGGGTAAGGTGCTCCCAGTGACAAATTTTATCTATCAATGTAGATCACCACCTTCTCTGCAATGTATAGTATTAGTTGTCTGGGGCACTGAGAGATTAAATGAATGGCTGTGTGCCACAGCCAGCATGTGTCAGAAGTAGGATTTGAACCCAGGTCTTCTAGACTTGGAGGTCAGCTCTCTATCCACTATACCAACTTGTCTCTTTTTTTTGTTGTTATTAAGTCCTTTTTTTCCGAGTCTCCGTGACACCATTTTGGGGTTTTCTTGGCAAAGACACTGGAGTGATTTGCCATTTCCTTCTCCAACTCATTTAACAGATGAGGAAACTGAGGCCAACAGGGTTAAGTGACTTGTCCAAGGTCACACTGCTAGTAAGTGTCTGAGGCTGGATTTGAACTCAGGAGATGAATCCTCCTGACTCCAGGCCTATCCACCCTATCTACCGTGCCACCTAGCTGCCCCACATGTCTGCAACCACAAAGAACAACAAAAAAAGGATTGTCTATAATTTTGGATTATCTCCTCGATGGCCGCCCTCACATAGGCAGACCTACACCCTGCACATCTTTGATCAACTCTGGCCAACTAACACACACACACTTCAGTTCCCTTTTGTTTAAAGTAGAGAAAGAAGACTGCTCTCTGCTCTCCTTTTTCATATTTCCCCCTGCGCTTAGCAAATGTAAGCCACAAGTCATGATTTTATCTATTCTAGGGTGTTTTATAGTAGAGATGGGCTGCTCTCTTGTCTATGAACCCAGACAAATCATTTCAATTCTATGAACCTTAGTTTCCTCATATACAAAATGGGGATAATAGTACTGTTATCTTGTAGTAGCATAATATACTGCTTTTTAAAAATGTGAGCTATCTTTCTGTGGTGGCAAAGAATTGGAAATTGAAGGGATGCCCATCAATTAGGGAATAAGTGGTGGTATATGATTGTAATGGAATATTGTTGTGCTATAAGAAATGACAAGCAGGATGATTTCAGAAAAACCTGGAAAGACTTACATGAACTGATGCAAAGTGAAGTGAACAGAACCAGGAGAACGTTGTCCACAGTAACAGCAAAATTGTACTATGAAGAACTGTGAATGACTTAGCTATTCTCAGTAACACAATGATCTAAGACACCCCAAAAGACTAATGATGAAGCATACTATCTGCATCCAGAGAAGAAAGTGACATTGTTTGAATACAGACTGAAGCATGCTATTTTTCACTTTCTTTCATTTTTTTTGAGTTTTCTTCTACAAAATGACTAATTTGGAAATGTTTTACATAATTGCACATGTATAACCTATATCTGATTGCTTACCATCTCAGGGAGTGGGGAGGGGAGGGAGGAAGGGAAGGATAGAATTTGGAATTCAAAACTTGCTAATAAAAAAATAAAAATGTGAACGGTTACTGTCTATTTCCCAATCCCATGGAACACATTATTCACTATTTTAAAAATAGGTGTGTGGGGCAGGAGAGGAGAAAGAATGGGAGAGAGCCACCCTTCAAAAGCCCCTCTGGCTGCCATGATCATTGAATTGAGTGGTTCAGGGTTCTATGATATGTGGAGGCTCCCTCATGCCCATAAATATGGACTGGGAACACAGTAAATGTTCCCCTATTCCTTGGGCTCTTACTTATAGAAGGAACATCCAGGTACTCTGGGGCTTTGGAAGGGGTGGGACCCACAATCAGGAGGAACACGGTGGATGGCAGGGTGGGCTACCTCTCCTTCCTTTGTCTTCACCAACTCATGCATTAATTGTACTAATTATTCCCCTATTCTAACCATCAAGATGATAGTACCTAGAGGTCAGGGTTTCTGATGGAAGGTTCCAGGTAGAAGTATACAATTTCAGAATCCCACAACTTCAGACATAGACCTATCCAATAGAATAGGGGTCTTAGATGATACTGTCAAGGTCACACTTGTAGCTGACCTGGTGATATATCTTCCCGTCCTTAGGTACCAAGTCCTCAGGTAGCTCACAGCATGAGCTCACAGATGAGACCTCCCCTGGGGCAAATATACAGGGGAACAAAAATAGGGAAAGCCACACAGACTGACTCCCCCAATCTAATCAGCTTGGACAGAAAGTGGTGTCATCTGGCTCCCTTGCTCCACCTATCAACATAATGGGTTCTATAGCCACAGTATAAAAGTCAGGTTAGAAATAACAGCCCAGAGGCACAAGCTGTCTGCATGCAGCCTCATAGCGGGAGAAAGGCTGATGGTCTTGTTAGGGATATAAGTTCCTCTCCTAAGCCTCATCTCCATTTTGCAGGAAACCAAGGCTCCGAGAATCTAACTGACTTGACCATGATAACACAGTTACTACCTTCATGCTCTCTTAGTACCACTGTCCTGCTCTCCTGTCTGTATTTTGATCTGGATATTTGGGTGGTTGGTTCACAGACTACTTACAGCATTAAAGAAGTTTCTGAATTTGTGTTCTTCAAAGCCAGCAGCTAAAAGGTCTTTTGGGGTCTGTAGCACACGTTCCTTAAACCTGAAAGGGATTGAACCTAAAGATTAGAGGTCAGTGAACAAAGTATCAGGTGTACTCTCTACATGCAATTTCTCCAGCATCTTGGGCTCTGCTATCCATGGATGTGCGCTGGAGCCGGCTCTAAGAAGCTATTGTTAAATTTTTAGCATGAACAATTTACTCTTCAGAAACCAGTAAAGATACAAATCAAGGCTAGATTTATTGTTTTGTTGATTATCTAGACTTAAGAAAGTGATAATAATGTAAATGAAATTTAAAGAGTGCCTGGGTGTATACTTTTCTTTTTTCCCTCTGGAGAGATTGGTTGTTAAACATTTATCAGCACACTCCTGTACTGCTCTACAAATATTGTTTGAGCTCAGCAGAAGTGAAGTAGAAGGTTCAAGGAATGAAGTTATTACCAGATTGGAGGCCAGGTGACATAGGGTGATGATGATGATGATGATGACGGTAAAATAATAATGGCATTTCTGTAGGGTTTTAAGGTTTGCAACGTGCCTTACATCCATTATCTTATCGGAGGCTCACAATGTTCCTACTATTATTCCATCTCATATCTCTATAAATGGAAGACAGGTCAGGGGCTACTCTCACCAAAGGTAGCTCATGTTCCCAATTACAGAAACAGCCACTGAAGGGAACAATTATGGAATGACAGTAACAATAATTCACATTCATCTAGGCTGTTTAAGCTTTCCAATATACTTTCCTTACATATTTATGAGGTAGGTAGTGCAAAATATTATTCCCATTTTTCAGATGAGGGTACTGAAATGCAGAGTTACCCATGGCCCCATAACAAGTTAGGTGTCACAGCCATATTTTCCCAATGTTTCCTCATCTTCTGTCTCAATCCCACAGTTTTTCTTCCTCCCCAAAGTAACAAAAGGGATGCTGGAGCAAGTCTGTGGAGCATGTGGCACCCCACCTCTAAAAACATCCCAAATACTTCCTAATAGAAAGTCACTATTGGTTAGGATTTTCTATCAGTTCTTTCCTTTCAAAGCTCTCCCTTTGGGAAAACTTGAGACTTTGTTGTTCTCTCCTGGGGTTTAAATAGGTTGATGTGCAAAGCAGGCTCTTCAGGTTTGGTTTCTAATAACTTTGAACAGGTTGTTTTGGATGTTTTGTGTTCTTTTCCTCTTCAGAAGTCACAAATAAACTAGGTAAACACCTAGGTTCAGGGGTGCCAAATATGGGGGAGGATCATGCCACCTAGTGGTATGTTTCAGAAAAAAAACCACTACAGAGTTCTACGCCGACTCTATGAGCTCTTCTTTCCTCTCCTGGAGACATTTGTCTTTAATCCTGTCCAGGTTAACATTTTTATTAGTGACTTGGATTAAAGTAGTATACATCAAATCTGCAGAAAACATAAATTCAAGAGTGGAAACCAATACAACGGACCACAAACGTCGTTTTTGTTCAGTTGTGTCCAACTCTTCTGTGACCTCATGGTCTATAGCACACCAGGCCCTTCTATCCTCCACTATCTCTTGAATTCTGTCCAAGTTCATGTTTATTGTTTCCATGACACTACCTATCTCATCCTCTGCTGTCCTCTTTTCTTTTAACCTTTCCTTTAATTTTTTCCCAATACTAGAGTCTTTTCCAGTGAGCCCACAAATATAGGATCCAAAAATATCTCAAGAGTTGCGAGTTGTGGGCTGAAGCTAGTAAGATGAAACTGAACAGAGATAGATGTAAAGTATTGCATTCAATGTCAAAAAGATCAACCACATGACTACAGGATAGGAGAAATGTGGTTTAAAAAAAAAAAAAGAGCTAAAAGTTTTAGTGGACTGCAAGCTTGAGCAAATTTTCTGTGGACCAGATATCCTTTAAGGTCTTTTCCTGATGGAACAATCTATTGAACTAACTCTAGTGACCTGTGGCCTCCTCTCCCCATGATTTAGTCATAGGTCTTTTACAAATGGCAATCTAAAAAATCAAATGGGATATAGTTACATTAAGAGAAGAATAGTGCCTAGGACTGGGGAGGTGACAGTATCATCACTCTGACCTGGTCAAACTCCATCTGGAATATGAGGTTCAGTTCTCAGTGCCATGTTTTAGAAGGGACATTGAGGGGCAGCTAGATGGCGCAGTGGATAGAGCACCGGCTCTGAAGTCAGGAGGACCTGAGTTCAAATCTGGCCTCAGACCAAACACTTGATACGTACTAGCTGTGTGACCCTGGGCAAGTCACTTAACCCCAATTGCCTTACTAAAAAAAAAAAAAAAAAAAAAAAGAAGGGACTTTAAAACACTGTAATGTGTTCAGAGGAAGGTATTAAAACACTATAGTGTGTTCAGAGAAGGGTGAACAGGACAGCAAACAGGACTCAAAACCATCCTCTCCAGTGAAGTAATTGGGAATATTTAGTATGGAGAAGGAAAGACTGGTAGAGGAGAACAGGGAGGGCAGTTTGTACTTGTGGATTTCAGTTATCTGAAGGGCTATCAAGTAATAAAGGGATTGGTCTTATTTAGCATGGCTAAGACTAATGGTTGAAAATTATGTAGAGAACTTTCTTTTAAAAAGAAGAAATTAGGGGCAGCTAGGCGGTGCGGTGGATAGAGCTCCAGCCTTCGAGTCAGGAGGACCTGATTTCAAATCTGATCTCAGATACATAACATACAACACTTACTAGCTGTGCGACCCTGGGTAAGCCACTTAACCCCGATTGCCTAGCAAAAAGCAGAAAAAAAAACCCCACCAAAATAAATAAAAAAAATAAATAAAAAGAATAAATTATAAGGAGGCTGATTTCAGTTCATTAAAAGGAAGAACTTCTTAGTGATAAGCACTGCCCTAAAATAGAATGGGCTACCTTAAGAATTAATGATGGAAGGGGCAGCTAGGGGTGCAGTGGATAGAGCATTGGCCCTGGAATCAGGAGGACCTGAGTTCAAATCCGGCCTCAGACACATGATACTTTCTAGCCACGTGCAAGTCACTTAACCCCAACTGCCTCACTAAAAAAAGGAAAAAAAAAAAAAGAATTAATGATAGAGGCTAGATGATCACTTGGCAGGGACGTTACAGAGAAGATTCATGTTTTGGATGTGACTTGAGCTAGAAAGCTTGAAAACCTCTGAGTTCCCTTCCAACACTGTGTTACTATGAGCCTGAGTATGGTGGAGAATAAGATCCAGGCTAACAAAATGGTGAAAGAGGAAAAGTTCTCCCTTCCATATCCTCACCCCAGAAGCCTCTTAGTCATTCCATCCTTCCCCCCTAGCAAAACTACTCTGGGATTGGAAAGGAGCTAAGAAACTCACATGTACAGTAGAAGACAATTTTGGAGGCAGAATCAGAGGACTTTGGTTCAAGTAAAGGTGGTGCCATTATATTACTGGTGTGACCTTGGAAAGTGGCTTAACCTTCCTGGTCTGTTTCCTCATATGTAAAAAATGAAAGGGTCAGACTAGATGACTTTGCAGGTCCCATCTATGATTCTATGAATATCACTTGGGGGGAAGAGGTAGATCTTCATTGGAACAGAGCCCTAATGGTGGTATTTTAGGTATCTATGATAGCTCCACAGGCAGGTGGGGAACGAGTGTAATATAGTAAGTGGAAAGACTGCTAGCTCTAGATTCCAACGAAGTGGGTTCAAATCCCACCTCTGATGTTTGTACCTTGTGTGACCTTGCTCAAGTCATTAACTTCCTAGACCTCAGTTTCTTCAACTGTAAAATGAGGGGGCCAGTCTAGATGGTTTCTTAGGTCTCTCCCAGCTCTACAACTGTGATTTGCATGCAGTATTTTGAGGCAAGGGGATGTCCAAGTAGTCTTCAGGTCACATTGTAAGGTGGGCGTCTACTTCCTTTATGTTTAAGGCCATGTCTGATCAGATCCAGGTAACATAAATTAAATAAAGATAATAATAACAATAATAATAATAACAATAATAATAACAACAAGCATTTATATAGCACTTTTAGGTTTGAAAAGCATCTTACAAATTTTATTTTTAATAAATTTTAATTTTAATTATTTTAATAATTAAAATTTTAATACTTTTAATAATAAAAATTTAATAATTTTACAAATATTATACACTTTATCCTCACAACAAGGATAGAAGGTAGGTGCTACTCTTATTATTTTTTACAAATGAGGCAGAAAGAGGTTAAATGACTTGCCTAAGGTCTTAGAGCTAGGAAGTGTTTGAGGCTGGATCTGAATGTGGGTCTTCCTGACTCCAGGTCTGGCACCCTATCCATTATACCAATAAAGAGAGATGGAATCTCTATAATCACTCATTAAATGGTTAACCTACTTCTGCTTGAATACTTCCTGTCATGGAAGTTTTTTTGGGTTTTGTTCTGGCTTGAATTCTCTTGTTAACTGTCCTAAAACAATCTATTTTTGCTAGTTTGGACCTGGTCAGTGAATCAGTTGGGGCACCTGGGAAAGATATTTATTCAGTCTCCTTGTCTCCAAGTAGCACCATACCTAAACCATAGCTGGGAGCAGATTTCAAGGCCACCAAGAAAGGTGATTCCATAGACATATGAAATCATAGGGTGTAAGAACAAAAAGGAAACCTAGAACATAGAATACAAGAACTGGAAGGTAGACAGAACACAATATGGAAAAGGTTAGAGATGGGGGGTTCATTAGAGATCATCTTACAGATGAGGAAATTAAGGCCTAGCAAGGTGGTGACTTGATGAGAACCCAGCTTCTTAGGCCCCTGTTCCATTGTTTAATATCTCTTGCTGTTAGAAGTCACCTTCAAGGATTCTAATCAGGGGTGTGTGCTAGTAAATGTTTAATAATCAGCTCTCTCCGGGGAAAAAAAGTATGTTGGACACACTTTTAAGTTTACTCTTTATCATTAATATTTTCTCCAACATTTTTTAAAGTCTAGTTGTTGTTCGGTCGCTTCAGTCATATCTGACTCTCTATGATCCCATTTGGGGTTTTCTTGGCAAAGATATTGGAATGGTTTTCCATTTCCTACTCCAGCTCATTTTACAGATAAGGAAACTGAGGCAAACAAGTTTAAGTGCCTTGCCAAGGGTCACACAGCTACTAAGTGTCTGAGGTCACATTTGAACTTCGGAAGTCTTCCTGACTTTAGGGCCGGTACTCCATCCACTGTGCTACCTAGATGCTCTTAAAGTCTCCATGTATCAACATATCAACAAAGCAATAAATAAAGCCTTGATTTGTAGCTTTTTGTTGATTTCTAAGGTATAAATGCACACAATGGAAATTTAACAATCAGCTCTCACAAGTATTGAGCTTGCTCCAGCACACCCCGAAGATTAACCATTACTTTCTGAATATGGGCTGAACCAAACAAAGAGAAAACCATTGAAGCCACTGAAATAGCTGAGTTTAGAGCTTATGGTCTTTTGGTTTGATCAAGTGTTGCATTTACTACCATTCCAACCCAATCCAATCTAATCCAATATAATACTGATGTAACAACTTTGCACACTAAGTGCCTAATGTGTGCAAAGGATTGTATTAGGAGACACAGAGAAAACAAACAAAAGAAATCCCTGCCCTCAGAAAGCTTATATTCTACACAGAGGATACAATGTGTAAACAAGGAAGAATCCACAAAGTAATTTACCTGAGAATTTCTCTACTGTTTCCAATAAGTGATTCTAAGTAGGAATAACCCAAAGCTCGGTAAAAGCAATTCCCATCCCCTTTTGTTTTTCGTAGAGCAGAAAATCTTTTGCTGAGTTCCTGGGGAAAGAAAGACATAGTTTTAGATTAAAAAGTAATAATCATAATGATAATAGCTGATGTTTACATAGCATTTTGATGTTGGCAGATTGTTTTTTTGTTTTGTGGGGGTATTTTGTTTGTTTTGTTTTGTTTTTGGCTAGGCAATGTGATTAAGTGACTTGCCCAGGGTCACACAGCTAGTAAGTGTCAAGTGTCTGAGGCCGAATTTGAACTTAAGTCCTCCTGACTCCAGGGCTCATGCTCTATCCACTGCACCACCTAGCTGCCCTTAAATTAACTGAAATCTCTTTGGAAGCTGATTGGATTTTTTTTTTTTTTGGCCAGGTAATTGGGGTTAGGGTTAAGTGACTTGTCCAGGGTCACATAGCTAGTAAGTATCAAGTGTTTGAGGTCAGATTTGAACTCAGATCCTCCAGACTCCAGGGCCAGTGCTCTATTCACTGTGCCACCTACTTGCCCTCAGATTGTTTTATGTACATTATCTCATTTGATTCTTGCAAAAACTCTATGAGGTAAGTATGGCTGGGTATTATCGTCCCCATTTTATAAATGAAGCAGCAGAGGCTTAGAAAGGTTAAGTAATTGACTAAGGGTTACACAGTAAAGAAAATTGATCCAGTCTTTTGTGAGGAACTTATTCTTACCTCTGGATATTGTCTGCAACTTAACCTGGGGACTTTCTTTTCCTCTCATACTACCCTAAACCACAAGCACTATAGTCCTTGAAGTCTTGAGAAAAGTGTGAGTGTGAGTAAGAGTGAGAGGGAGAGTAAGTCCTGCATTTGATGGGCAAGTCACTTAGTTTCTTCCATACCTCAGGGGATTCTCTAGGCCATAAACTGCAGATGGTGTGTTAACATGGATGAAATCACAGATCCAGTCAAAAATATGCACACACCCATATAGGATCATATATATTTGTATAAAGAGGATAAAGATAAAGTATAAAGATAAAGAGGAAGAGTGTGTGTGTGTGTATGAGAGAAAGAGAAAGTGTGTGAGATAAAGGAAGAAGAGGGAGAGAGGGAGACAGAGAGAGAGAGAGAGACAGAGGGAGAGAGAGACAGAGGGAGAGAGAGAGAGAGGAAGACAGAGAGAGAGAGAGAGAGAGAGAGGGAGACAGAGAGAGAGAGATAAGGGAGAGAGATAAAGTGTGTGTGAGAGAAAGAGTGAGTATGTTTGTGTGTATGAGAGAGATGGAGGGAGAGAAACTCTGTGTGTGTGTGTGTGTAAGAGAGAAGGGGAGAGAATGTGTGTGAGACAGTATGTATGAGAGAGGCAGAGAGAAAGTGTGTGTGTGAGAGAGAGAGATTATGTGTGTGTGTATATGAGAGCAAGATGGAGGAGAAAGAGAAACAGAAGAGAGAGACAGAGAGAGAGAGAGAGAGCAGGGAGAAGGAGAGGGAGAGGTAGAGAAACAGAGAGATAGAGAAGTGTATAGTGACTTGAGGGACGGCCTTGGAATCAGGAAGACCTAGTGCAAATTCTCCCTGAGACATGTGCTAACTACTGTGAGACTACAGGTAAATCAATTAACCTCTCAGCAATCTGCATCTACCGAGGGAGTTTTCACACTGGGAGTTCCTCATACAATGAAATCACAGGTCCTCAGAAATGCACATAAATATTCCTTTTCTTGTTTGTTTTAAACACCCTTAGCCTTACCTGAATTTTCCTCTGGTAAATCCTATTTTCTGGATGGTCACAAAGAATCGATAAGATGTCACATTTCTCAGATATTAAGTTAAAGGATGATTCACTCTGAAAGATGAGGACAGAGAGGTAAATGGAACAATTCCAAAAAAGAACTGACTATATTTCATCATATCCCACCGGGAAATTAAATGCATTTCATTTTTCCTTAGTCATGCCTGTAAACAGAGAATATCCTTCATTTAAGAGAAAAACTCATTTTGAAAGTCCTCCACTTGAAAAACTGATAAAAGTATAGCCTCCATTCATTTTACAGGACTGAAGCCTCTAACATAAGGAACCCTCTCACTGAGAGGCAATGTAACATGGTGGGAAAAAAGTCTAGGTTTGGAGTCAGAGAACTTGGGTTTGAATTTGTGCTCTACTACTTATTTGCCTGTGTGCCCTTGGGTAAATCACTCCATTTTCCTGGGCTTTAAATTACCTCATTTGTTAAATGGGGGGGCTGGACTAAATGTCTTGAAAGGCCCCTTCCAGCTCTAAATCTATAAGCCTACACTGTGGGTCAGAGAGCAGCCCCTGCTGGCAACATGTGATTTTGCAACCTAGCTCCACTAGATCAGAGATGTCAAACTCACCGATGTAAGGCCGAGCAAAACTCAAGCATATCCTGAACCAGATTAAACTGTAACTGGAAAATGTATAACAAAACACATAGAATATAATACAACACGGATAATGTTAATTTATTGTTTTGTAGGCTAATACGCAGCTCACAGGGATACGTTTCTATTTCAGTTTGACCCTACTGTAGTAGGCCCTGTCAATACCAATACGAGTAGAAAAATGAAACTCATAGGAATCGTGGAATTTGAGTTGGAAGGAACCTTAGTAGCCGTCCAACCCAAAAAGGAATCCTCACTATAACATGACTTACCTAATACATTTAGAGCTGGAATGGATCTCAAGGTCTAGTCCATGCCTCTCATGTTACAAAGGAGGAACATGAAGCCAGAAAAGATTAAGCAACTCCCTCAAAGTCATATAGGTAGTAAACAAGAATAAGAATCTGAATCCATGCAGGAGGCTGGCACTCTGTAGCTACCAAAGGCAAACTCAGTCAATTCGACAGAGATTAAAACTCTATTGAGCCAAACAGATTAGCCCAGTAGATGTTAAAGGAACTATACTTGGAGGATAAAGATAATGCCTAAGGTGATATTCCCTGGTTATTTCTTCTTTTTTTTTTTCTTTGTGGTGAGGCAGTTGGGGGTTAAGTGACTTGCCCAGGGTCACACAGCTAATAAGTATCAAGTGTCTGGGGTTGGATTTGAACTCAGGTCCTCCTGACTCCAAGGCTGGAGCTCTATCCATTGTGCCACCTAGTTGCCCCTCTTGGTTATTTCTAACAGACTTAGAAAAGCAGAGTCACTAGCATATGGAAAGTTAAAGTAAACTCCACACTCATTCAGTAGTTAGAAGAATAAGAAGCTAGAGGGCAGAAGGATAACTGATGGCACTCACTAAGAGTCAAAGTGAAAGGGGAATGCTGTTATGCAGTGGGGACAGAAAGGTCATGGGCATGCAAGGAGGGGATAAAATTCCTAAAAGAGTCAGGTTTGGGATGCCCCATTCCCCAATCACACACAGACACCCCAGGGTCCTTCATGCCCTTTGATCAGCCTGCATAGGGGAGGGAAAGGCAATTAGATCCTGCATTGTGGGTGGTCCTCTACCCTAATGGTGACAAGTTTTAGCTATGGGCCTCCCATGATGTACCACTATATAGAAATGGACAGACTAACTGGTGAAATCTGAGCAAGAGATTGGGACAACCACATTGGCTACCTGAACAAATGTGACTGCTAGTAGAAATAGGACTTCTGAGTATGGCTGAAGATGACAACGTCTTCCGTAACACACTTTGGGTATGTTTCCTAAAACATAGGGTTGATAAGGAAGTAGTTGATTATCAGTCTACGAGGATACTTCTAAAAGTGTCCAGCACTGGCATAGTAAGAGCCCTTCAGCCCCACTTAAGTCTAAAGTTTCCTTTAAAGCTCTACGCCACCTCTACTTGGATTTGCTGAACACTAGCAGCCAGATTACTGTTAGGAAATTTCCAAGAGGTCCATAGGGGCACCTTAGTTCCCATTGAGAAGGTTGGAGTTCAGAACACCAAAGGAAACCAGCAGCATGAGTTTTGGGGAATCAGTAAATATATGAGTGCTCATAGCAGTCTCTATGCCAGTTATTAAGGGTAGGGCCAAGTAAAGAGACTTTTGGATTTACTTCAGCCATCCTATGTTATTAACACCAAATAATTCTGGGTCCTAGGGAGGGTGTGGAGACTATTTCTTCCCTTGTGATGGAGATAAAGGAGGCCAGAGTACTTTCATATACCACCTCTCCCTTATTCTGAGTGGCCAGTGAAGAAGGCAAATGTACCTGATAGATTACAGTGAACTAGAAGGAGCGAGTTGAAAAAAACTTTTTTACATCAATTGCTGAGGTTGTTTCTGACCTCATTAATGTGGTGGATCAGGTAACCAAGATCCCACATCGGTGGTATAGGATTGTCAAACTTGCTAACTTTTTTTTTTTGCCTTTTTTTTTCTATTTCTGTATCTGAGACTAGTCAGGAGCAGTTCTCCTGTACCTAGGAAGAAGTCCAGTATACCTTCAGCATCCTTAGGACAACCTGAACTCTTCCTCCTACCGCCATGATACAGTAGGCAGAAAGAGATCCCACTTGCTAAGGACATTGATCCCATTACTACATTTATGACATAATGTTGACCAGGTCAAACAAGACCATGGTGGCAGAAGCCCTAGACCTGTGGTGGCCCACATAACGGCCAATAGATGGGAGATAAACTCTAAGAAAATCTAGGTTCTAGTATTCTCAATTAAATTATGAGAAATATTGTGGGTGGGAGAACTCCAGATGATTCTAGACACAGTCCAGAACAAATTACTGATGCTCACTTCTTTAAAGTCTAAAAAAAGGAAGCCCAGAACTTTACTGGACTCTTTGAATTTCAGAAAACCCACATTTCCCAACTGGGTATACTGATGGCTCCTATTTACTGAGTTACCTACAAGTCTGCCTATTTTGACTGATGGCACAAATAGGTTCCAGCACTGCAATACTTAAAACCCCTAAAAAGGGGTTCCTCTTCTAAGATAAGTAGGGCACAGGAAGCCTTTATTATTAAATGGAAATGGCACATTCAAGTCTGATTGAGGGGTCCATGGCCTCGAAAGAAAAAGACCAGACAATCAAAGGCTCTTCCCATTAGGGAGAGGACCAGTAGAGGAATTTTACAATGCCTTTACAATACAATTTTATAATGCTGACTGTGGACATGTTAATATCCATTAGAGACATACATTCTCTGCTTAACTAAATAATCAGGCTGATGCTTTTATGAGAAAAGGAGAGGAGGGGGAGCAGGTCCATTGCTATGGGGCCCACGATGTTATGCTATAGAAGGCTTGTGATCACATGGTCCATCTAATTCTATGGATGAGGTAGGTAGCTAGGTCTTCCCAAAGTGGCTCTTCATGCTAGTCTATTCCGAATGGTTTTCAACTTGCTGCCATCTTGGAAATTCACCCTCTTTCCCCATCTCAGGGTAAGGTTTGCTCCTGAGAAACAATATCTTTGTCATTATGTTCATGACTAGGTTGAGTGTCCCACTTCTCAGAAGCCATGCCCTTGACAAATCAGCATCGCTCTAGGAAAGGAGTGGTGGTTTTAATCCTGATGAGTCTTGGGGTGAATCTTAGTCCTGATCCTGGCAC